ACACCAGTGTTATCAGAGTTTTTTGCCCGCACCCCGAGCTTTTTAGCCTTAACTATGGAAAGAGTCAGAACACATTAAAGAGTATATCTACCTGGCAAACATTCTCTATGCCCAACCCTTTCTCATGTTAAGATCTAGAAGCAAGGGTTCCGGAAATGAACGCTGAGTAAAACTGGTCAGACTGCAAGAAACCTACGCCCCAGCGGCTACGGTGTTTTTGCTCACCAGCGTGATCAGAGTTTTTTCACCCGTACCCCAAGCTTTACAACCTTAACGACGAAAAGGGTCAGAACGCATTAACCTTTTTATACAAAAAGGGGAGAAGAGATAAAAATCTGTTTGGCCATAATGAAATTTAAGAGCTTGTCCACTTATTACAAGTTCACCGCCTGGCTTATCTACCTAACTAATTTCTTGGGGGGATGATCTCATCCTCTATCTCGATAGGTAAGTCCTATGCTAGAGGGGCCACCTCCTTCTCGATGTCGTCCAGCTCGGCGTCGGTGTAGACAAGCGTGAGAACCGTCACAGGTAACGAGGGATACGGAGTTGAAAATGCTCCTACGGCCCATACAGGCCTAGAAGTTTGAAGGCTGGCCCTCCGACGGGTTCAAAGCCGCTCTGGGCGCCCTTAGAGTGAGGGGTGGAAAGGGATGGGCCCACTAGCGGCCAGTACCCAGGCGCACAAGTGCCGCGGGCATCCTGGCCCATATTTGAGTCTTGGTTGGTTCCTAATCCGTGGTTTTTCCTTGAAGAAAGGCAACGAGCCGTTGGGATCGGTCGAACAGACCCGAGAACTATATGGATTGGCCACTAAGAACCTAGAGTCGGTCACCAGCTGACCCATGCCAGACCCCCACGAATGGGAAACCGGGGCCCCACTCGGACTAGCCCGTTAACAGCTCACCAAGCACCATGTTTCGTCCATCGAGGAAAAACATGGCACGGCTCAGCCCCTCCGTTTTATCGAAAAAACGCTTGAGGAATGATGACCACAAAGACGAGCCAACCCTCGACCGGACCCCTGCTACGCGCGGGTGCTCGAGAGAAGTTGGGCTCGCAAGGAGACCGAACACGCGGTCGTAGGACGACGGCGGACCGATCGGATCCTAGGGGACCGAAATCAGGAAAAATCTTTCCGACCTCCTGAATCCTACAGTTACATGCCCCCAAGAAGACCGATCGCGACAAAAGGGAATCGCCATCCTACCAGGACACGTCGCGGGCTACAAAAAGAAGGCCAAGGCCCTCAGAGTCCTCCCGTCCGAAAAAGCCTCTAAAAGAGTATTCTACTCCTCCGCAGGCTCAGGGGCTATTGTCAGGTATCGATATTAGGGATACCCAAAGCAAGGAAATTAGCACCCACGCTGACTATCCCGGATGGCTCGAGACGTATAATGTAATAAAAGGTCTCGCCCGACCCCAAGGTTGCGGGCTCCATCTCGCCCGACCTCGAGGCCGCGGGCTCCGTCTCGCCCGACCTCGAGGCCACGGGCTCCGTCTCGCCCGACCCCTTAGGTGCGGCCTCCGTCTCGCTCGACCCCAAGGACGCAGGCTCTGTCTCACCTGACCTCTTGGGTGCGGGCTCCATCTCGCCCGACCCCAAGGACGCGGTTTCCGTCTTGCCCAAGGTCGCGGGCTCTGTCTCGCCCGACCTCGAGGACACGGGTTCCGTCTCGTGCGACGGGGACCCATACCGCCGCCAACCACTTTAGGTCCAAGCGTATGGATCTAGGTCAAAACTCTGACGCCAGGGAAGAGGCCGGCACGCCTCGATGTAACTCGTGGCCATGACAGACCATACCTGGGGATTCACATCAAGAACAGTGTCGGGCGTGCAGGTGCTGTTCTACCTAATCCTCGTACGGATGCTGACAGGCGTGTCAGTTCACCACGATGCCTGCACATGGAGTCAGTGACAAACAGGGCCGCGACATAGAGCCGTTCCTGTTGACATCTACAGGATCGGCGGGACCCGCATGAAGGAGAAGAAGGACCCGACAACCCTAGAAGCCTTCTTCCCTCTCGTTCTTCTCCTTTTCCTCCTCTGTAACGCACGCTTTCCCTTCTCCTATAAAAGGGGAAGCAGGGTGCCCCATGAATGGGGGGATCTGGACATAAGAGCACGACACGAGCACATTGCTGAGCGGCAAGCGAGCTCTCAGTACCCGTTCACTCTTTCCACCGAAGACTTGGGATCCTCTCCCTCTCTCGCCTATTTGTAACCCCTACTGCAAACCAAGTGCTGGTAACACAAGCAACAGCGAACTAGACGTAGGGACGTTCTATCCGAACCAATATAAACCCTTGTGTCCTCCGAGCACACCATCCGAGCCAGACGCGTAAATACAAATTTACTCGTCGGTGGTCCGAAAACACCGACACTTAGAGATTTAGTTGAAGCAAGACTTCGAGAGCCTTTTCTAAAATGTATTATCTAAACATCATTTGAAAAGTCATTTGAGTAAAAATCGCTTTCTATATCTTTGTATACAACAATAGCTACTCTATATCTTGGCTCACTCTAAAGAGGCATCCTTGCTCTTCATTTTGGCTAGCGAGAAATCTAAAATAGTGAATGTCTATACGTAGAGATCTAATTAGAAAGGCTATTAGAGGGGTTTTTTTTACAAAAATCTCTATTTCTACAAATGAAGAAAGATATAAAGAGTGCTTTGGATAGGGTAAGGTTGGTTTAGATCCGTTGGGAAGCTAGGTGGTGCATGCTCCATCTCCTCATCCACCTTTCAGCGAAACTAAAAGCAAAAGTATATATTTAAACATCTAACTATGGGTGTTGATTCTAAAAAAAGATTGTATAAAATAAAAAGACTATCTTTGTTTATGCAATGGAAAATAAAATTCCTCCAGTAAGAATAGTATATGTTTTTTTGCCTTAAATGATAGAAAAAGAAGTACACTGCAATTACCATGTCAAATTTATGGATGCATAAAATATTAAAACCAACCTAGGGGGGAGCTACACCATTGAAACAAAAAAAGGACCCCAAATTTAGTTTGAGCTTGTTTGGCAGCTCGGAGCAGTTTCGATTCTAGCGTGAAACGTTGCCAAACGGGTAGGTAGAGAAACGTTTCACTCTCGGAGCGGTTTCGATTCTCACGTGAAACGCCAGAATCCCTTCCAAACAGGTAGGTAGAGAAACGTTTCATTAGTCAATCACTTGGATCTGTCCTTTTTTTTTCCTACAAGCCCGAAACGGTCGCCGAGTAGTTTCACTAGATTTCATTTGTTGCTCCTCTCTATACTAGCATTCGTAGTTTTTCTAGTTAAACTACTTTTTTAAGTGCAAAAAATTAAATGTGTTGTATTTAAGTTGTTTTTCACTCCAAAAAATGGATTTTTTGAACAATATTTCCATTATATGATTTTATTATGAAAAAACATTTTTTTTGTGAATCAGAATTTACCTACCAGCCAAACAATTTCACTAGGTGATTCTGATCCATCACCTTAAATATTTCTTAAGAGAATCTAGATCCGAAATGTTTCTACGAGAATCTGGATCACTGCCAAACGCATCCTAAGTTGAAAGAACTTACCTCGGTGGTGACATGGTGTGAATGCACAACCACACTTTCTGCCCTGACTAGACTCACTTCCTAATTTATGATTTCATATTGTGGCAACCTATTATACAAGTCAGTAGCCACAAACTTGAAAGAATGTAAATACACAACCAAAATGAGCATTATTTTCCTTTAAACTGTACTGTAGCAATCTTTTTTTCCCCAAAACACAAACATAGGTAAAAAAATACATATCAGCTCTAGAAATCTCGAGTACCGTAGCTCCTGGAGAACCCCACACATAAACAGCAAGGGACACATAAACAGCGAGGATAATACAGGGGGACATGGCTTCAATTTATTGTGTCCACTACCACTAATCACAGTTGATGCCTTCCCTGAATCTGGCAGACTGGCACTCTACATTTTCATGAACTGCCCATTTTGTTTCTAGCTTCCAGGTGTGAACTTCATGCAGATCGGTGGCTTGATCTTGGCCAGAGCGAGCACGGAAGACGGGAAGGTCCATATGCCGTCTCCACAGATCAAACCGGACGCAACCGCCGGCACCATGAACACAGCCTCCTTCCTGTTCATCTTGTTCCAGACAAAGACGACCAGACTCCCAACGCACATATCAATCGCGAAGCTCCCACCCACAAGGAACGGCACGGCCATCGCCATTGGCAGGGGCACGAACCTCGCGTACTTCAGCGGCAGGACGTCCCGGGCAACACTGAAGACAAACGCGAAAGCGAAGAACCCAGCGGAGAGCGTGAGGCAGTGCTTGGGCAGCACGGAGAAGCCCTCCACGCCAAGGATCGCCATGTTCCGGTAGATCAGCCCGTACGGCGCCTTCCAGTAACCATTGGGGTTCCCGATGTCGAACGCGTTGTAGAAGAGCAGGAACGTGAGAGGCGCGACGACGCAGCCCATGGCCGTCCCGATGAACTGAGCCACGAGCAGGGACCTCGGCGACGTCATGGTCAGGTGGCCCGTCTTGAAATCGTGCATCAGGTCCGCGGACGCCATCACCAGCTGCTTCACGAGGGTGCCGCCGGCAAGGCCGGCGATGACGCCGTTGTCCTTGCCAGCCCAAGCTGCAAAGATGAAGAGCGCGATCTTGCCGTAGTTGTAGGCCATGTTGATGTCGGTGAGCCCTGTCCCGTAGGAATTGGCGAAGCCGAGAAGAGGGGCGAGGACATAGGCCACGATGACGTAGTACCACTTGATCTGCCGGAATATATGTGGGATGGTGATCACTGAAATGACGATCAGCGATGCGTATCCGGCATAAGCTGCCCAGGCGGGGAAAGACCCGTCGTTGAAGATCTCATCGCGTTGTAGATCGTCAAGTGGGACCATTTCATCCCCACCATTTGCCACTGTTCATTCAGTCAACAACAGCAGGTTATTCATTTTCTCATCTCTGCCGCTAGAACTGATGATTCTGGTGTTTTTCATTTTCTCACCTCTGTTGGTAGCACGTCTCCGGTTCAGTCGTTCATGAAGGCTCTTAACAGTGACACCAAAGACCTTAAAGAAGTGGTAAGTACCGTCTCCCATGATCAGAGCTATGCAGAGGAAAGCCTGGAAGGCAATAAAAATTTGGCATGTTTAGTGACATTAGTGACACATGGTCTTCAGTATCCCTTTTTTTAAAATGTAATAATCAAGAAAGGAAGAGTTTGATGCATGATAAGATCATAAGACAGTGACCTTATAACCATATAAGCTTTTCATGCTGCTTGCTGGTATATTTGCAGGGTACCAATCCCCTTTTTGTTTGCTTATGAGTGGCCACAGTATCCCCCATGACAGGATGGCACCAAGGAGGGTGGAGATGTTCACAAGGTGCGAACAAATCATCCCCGCACCAACATATGTGAGGCTAAAATCAAAGAAGAATCTGGCAACCAAGAAATTGGGAATTAGATAGCGTTGCACGCTGCAAATTAGGGAGATCTTTGAAGCAGCAGAGTATGCATGCTTACGTTTGCTTCCAAGCCTTCAGACCGAAGGTAGGAAACTGAACAAAACCGCAAACATCACCGCCTGTGTAGAACCACTGGAAAAAACTCCATATGAAGCTAAGCCCAAAGTACTTCAGAAACCCACGGACTTGCATCCTGTCATGGGAAGTAAATTTAGTTCACTTGGCTCAATAACTCATCATCAAGGGATGCTTGATCCAACCACAGCCTAAAATATGAACCTAACAGAGGTGGGGTGATGAATTGAAATCCATACTTTGCATTCTTGTCTCCTTGCTTGGTGTGGAAACCGTTTATGAGAACAGCAGTTGCAGTTCCACTTGGGTAAGTTAACTTGTAGTCAATGACCAAAACCTGGAAAGTGGAAATGTCTTGTAAAACGAGTAGCATTATTGATAACTGAAAACTAGCAAACTTTTCATTAGATTTGTAAACATTGTACTCCCTCCAATCACTAATAAGTGACATTTTGGGGTTCCTAAGTCAACCATTCTAAACTATATGTGGAGTTTAGACATTTGACAATGGTATGAATAGCTTTGTCTCGAAATATATATGTTGAGGAAGCAGCACCTTTCTGAGGGGAATCAAGCTTAGGAGGCCGGCGAAGCTGATCGCCGCGAGGAATCCGGCCATCCAACCGAATCCAGGGTCCTTGTAGCTCCCCAGCACGTTGGCCGGCGAGGCCCCGGCCAGCTCGTACGTCTTCTTGTCCAGGCCCAGCAGCGTGGAGCCGAACCCACCTGCACACACGCGCGTGCGAATCAGTCAACGGCGCAACTGTCAGGACGGCATGCATCCCGCCATCCCGGGCTGAGCTGAGCGGAGCAGCTGACCGCCGAACGCGATGGTGTAGCACGCGACGGCGCAGGTCTCGATGACGCAGTTCTCCTGGCGCGTGAAGGGGCGGTGCGCGACGCCGAGGCGCTCCAGCACGCGCGTCCACCCGCGGAGCGCGAGGAACGCCATCAGCGCCGCGGAGACGTTCAGCGTGGGCACCAGACCCGTGGTGAGGGCGATCTTCATGACGATGACGGTGTACATGAAGCCGATCAGCAGCGCCGCCACCATGCCGCGCAGGGTCACCTGCTCCCGCCACGGCCGCACCTGCTCCTGCTCCTTCTCACGCGCCGCCGCCGGGTCAGACTCCATGTCCTCAGGCACCGGCTCGTGCTTCTCGATCTCATCGTCCGCGGCTGCGGCACCGCTCCGCGCGCGGTCCATGGCGGCCTCGATCGCTTGATCCCTGCCTCAAGAGAAGTGTAGAGGCCGATGTTTACAAGCGCAACCCCAAGGGAGTGAGCTGCATCAGAAGATGAAGATGGTGAGGTTGAGTAGCCTGGATTTATATAGAGAAATCCTTCAAATGTCAACTATGCCATCTCACTTAGAATAACTCGTTATCTAAAAATCTCACTTACAATCACTAGCCCAAACCCTGAAGTATTTTCTTCGCAGAAAACTACTAAGAAATTTTCAAGTCGTCGCATTATTAGCTGTCCAGAGAGTTGTTAGGGGAAGAAGGAAAGCGACTCAAGCGAGTTGATCGGTGGCAGCATTTTTCTTGCCGTCACGTCTTTGTATATAGTTCATCTAGGACAAATTGATGGAATGATGACTTCGTTTGAATGAAGTTTATCGGGGAATCATGCCCTATTACGTTAGTCCAGTACTCATATCTGCTAAGGGCCTGTTTGATCCACCGAGTAAATCCCTTTGCCATGGTATGCTGTGGGTGTTTGGATCCAAGGCATAAAAAAGCGGGGTTACAAGTGCAAAATGAGGTGTCCTTCACCCCAATACTTTTAGCTCAGTTTTGCACCTCTTGAGGTGCAAATGGACTAAATGTTAGCATCCTCTTTTGCTCATTTTTAGCATACATGTTTGGATCCATTTGTCAAAAAATAAGGCTAAAAGTGTGGACAAAAAAATTGCCATGGAAAACAAACAAAGGCCTAAATTTTAAATTTTAGCTGGCTAAATTTAGCTGCTAGTGATTTAAACGGTCCAGCTAAAACACTAGCTAAAGTTTAGCTAAGTTTAGCTGTTTGAACCTGTGGGGGATATGACCCCCGGTATCCACAAAATAAGACATGGACCGCATCATCAGTGGTGGCCCAGCCCATAAGATCAAGGCGTGCACGACACTGGTCGAGGTGCACCGTAAGATATTGTATAGTACCAAATATGATACTTTCCTTGTAACCCTACCCCTCTAAAGTATATAAGGAGAGGCAGGGGTCCCGTAGTCGATATCTCCATATATCTCATATTCAATACAATACACCAAAAACACAGGACGTAGGGTATTACGTCGATCAGATGGCCCGAACCTATCTAAATCGCTGTCTCTATGCCTTATGCCACCATCCGGTTCCTGATTACGCACACCTCCACCGATCAATCTACCTTCGTGGGATACCTCTCGGAGGACTGCTGAGCATCTTTTGTTGACAGTTGACGCCCACCATAGAGCTGTGCGTGCTAATCCATAGCGACCTAGATGACGTACCTCAAGATCGACGCCGCTCGTGGCAACCTAACTTCGTGCGACGGCATGCTTCAGACAGGCTCGATATCACCCGACGACGGAATCAATCTACTGTACGGCGGCAACTCAACGACATCTCCCGACGTTCAGCGTGATTGCTTGATTGAAGCTTAACAGCGAAGCAATGGGACTCGCAGTACCGATTGTCGGGCCTTGGCGGCAGCGGCACCGTGCGTGCATCTAGATTGACAATTGGGCTGCTCGTCAATTTCCAATTCAGATACGTACGTCCCTCGTGGAATTAAAGCTCGGACCAAGCAGATTCGAGTCGGCAATCTCGGCACGCAACGATAGGCGGCGCTGGCCATCTGCATGTCTGCAACAAACGAACAAGGATCCACAATCGGATATGCAAGCCAATAGCAAATACTCAGGATATTGATGACTTGCATAGCCAAGCTAGCTAGATCATCATGCAAGCCACGAGTACTTGCAAGTATACATGCATCTACTTTCGACGTTGTCACGGACAATTTCGCCGCGCTCGTGCTCTCATCTTGGTACATAAGCCCGACTAAAAACGGTTTAGTCGGACAGGTCCAAGGACTTCGCCTCCCCACACGGACAGACTCCGTCATGCTCTGATTACGTCCGTTCGCCTACGACTCTACGTACCCATCCGAGCTGTCAAATGAACCGTCCGAGCCATCAAGTGAGCCGCTAAGCGTCGCCGACCAGTAACATAAAGACGACATCGTCCGGATATTTAAAGATTCACCATTACAATTCTTCGAGTGTCCCATACTTACCATTGTGGACGTATCCAGCGTCCTTGGTCCCACTTGCAGTTCCTATCTGTACCGTATTTGTGTATGCAGGACTCGGCCCGGCGTTCTTGCCTGTGGCGCTCACGGGCTCGGCTGGCGCAGGGCGGGCGGTCCGGCGGACGCTGTGGCGCAGGCGGCGGTGCCGGCGCAAGCTGCAGGCGGGCACTGCGAGCGCAGGCGGCGAGGGGAGTCCGGCGAGGAGGCCGCATGCATGGGAGCCGGACGAGCAGAGGGCCGCTGGGTAGCCGCAGGGGAGTCACGTGCAGGGGAGCCGACGAGCAGAGGGCGTGCAAGGGAACCGGCCGAGCAGTCCTGCGGCTGGCGTCTGCTTTCTTGCCTGAAGTCGTTTTCAGTCTTGCTGTTGCCCGGAGTTTTCAGTCTTTCTTGCCTAGCGTCTGCGGCCTTGTAATAGGCAGCATGTAAATTCTTGTTTGCAAATTAACTTGCCAACAACAACAGAGATGATTGCAGTTTCTTGTTTGTAGATGAATAGACATCAGGTCACTGCATCGCTGAGCACCGCAGCTCCCCCCTGGCACCGCAGCACCGCACGCCGGACGCCTCGCACCCGCACGCCGCCCGCCTCGCTCCCCCAAGCCCGCACGCCGGCCTCCTCGCGCCCGCCGGCTGCCTCGAGCCCCCACGCCGGCCGCATCACGCCCGCACGTCGGCCGCCTTGGCTCAAGCCGCGCCCGCTTGAGCCCGCCTGCCACGGCCGCTGCACCTGCGCCGCCGCCGCCGCCGTGGATGAAGTTGCGTGCGCTATGTGGTACAAGTATGCACCTGAATCGATCTAAGGGCCGGACCTTATCCACACGGGTAAATCTGTCCATACACAAATACAGTACAGGTACGAACTGCAGGTGGGTCTAAGGACGCTGGATATGTCCACAATGGGCAAGTATCGGACACTCGAAGAATTATAACGACGAATGTTCAAATATAATGGCAAATCTCAAAAAACTGAAAATTATAATGGCTTCAATCCAAACACCTTGTGTGCACTAGCAACACCGTTAAGCCAGGCACCGAGCGGCATGCACGGTAAAGTTTTCCAAATGGGCCTGGCCCATCGGGCTAGCACGGGCACGGTGCTGATTTGGCCCGGTCCGAAAACGGCCCGGTCCGGCCTCTCCCGTGCTCGTGCCAAGCGCGGCACGGCCTGCGTGCCGTGCTCGCGCTATGCTAGCCCGTTAGCGCAACGCAGACGCACGCCCGCTTCAAAGGCCGCAAGACGCGACGGGTCGGCATGGCTAAGAGCCGTTGGATGAAGCCCCCGTGGCCGGCCGTTGGATGAAGGGCTGCGGTGGGCGCCTATATAAGCCGAGAGCCGCCGGGGAAGCTATCGTGCTCATTTTTCTTCCCCCTCGCGCGCAAGGCACCAGCTCTTCTCGGCTCTGCTTCTCTCGTTGAAACCCTAGCCGCTCACTCTCTTCTTTTTTTCGCCGTCCGGTGGTTTGGTGGCAATGGCGGTGGCTTGCACGAACACAGCGCGGCCTTGTACACTTCTTCTCTTCTCTCGACCGGCGATGTAGCTTAGTCGTTGAGATCTCCAACGAATCGTCTTCGTCTCTCTCTCGTCGCTTCGTCGATCTCGCCGGGACTCGGCGTCATTGGGGCTCCGCTATGATGCGTTGAGGTACCGGGGACGCCGGATCGAAGCGATCGTCGTCGTCGCTGTTGCCTCTGGTGCTCAAATCAAGCGAGGTGAGTTAGATCCATTTCTTGTTCTTCTTCTTCTTCTTGATTCATTGTTCTTCTTCACTTCTTCTTGTTGATCTTGTTTTGTTGTTTTTACTTCTTTTTCTTCTTCTTGATTTAACCCTAGATCATTTTTTTTTTTGACGCCATCTTGGCGTTGAGGGACCAGAGGTCGACGGCGGCGGCGAGATGTCGGATGAGCAGGAGGACATCGGTCTCTCCATGACGATCAACGACGAGTTGCGCCTCTGCGGGATGACCGGAGACGACGAGGACGATATTGTTGGGGATGCTGAGGAGCTCTTCGGTCGTCGTGCTGCCGAGGAGCTCAACGGCGGTACTGCTACTCACCCACTTCCCGTCGATGACGCTGACGGCCCCAACGCCGTCCAGGGCGACACTTAAGCCGCTGCTGATGACGGCTCAACCAGCCGGCCTAACCGCCCTTCTACCTCGGTTTGCAGGGAGGATTTTGAGAAGCTCTACAAGAAGGTAAATGGTAAGGATGTCAGGTATGGCGCTCGGTGTCTTCACTGCCGTAAGGAGTACTCTGCTAATTCTAAATTTGGGACTGGCCACCTTCTCCGTCATCAAGACTCTTGCCTAAAAAGCGTGAGAAATGTCGCATGGCTCAGTCCCACATTACTTTCAATAAGGATGGTAGTATGCGTAATTGGGAGTATTCTGCTGAGGTTGCTCGTGTTCAGCTTGTTCGTTTGCTTGCTAGGCTAGATCTTCCCCTACGTCTTGGTGAAACTGAGGCCTGGGAAGATTACATAAAAACTGCTCATAACCCTAGGTACTCAACTGTTTCTAAGCAAACTACAGCTAGAGATCTTTTTAAGTATTTCAATGAGAAGCGTGGTCATTTGATTGATGATTTGAAGAACAATGCCATTTCATCTGTTGCTATTACTTCTGATATTTGGTCTAGAAATGCTAAAGAAGATTATTTGAGTGTTGTTGGTCATTACATTAATGCTGATTGGCAACTTGAAAAAAGAGTGCTTGGCTTAAGGCTTATAGATGCATCACATAATGCTGAGAACATTGTTGAACGTGTTAGTAATGTGCTTAATGATTATGGTATATTGAACAAGGTCTTTTCTGTTACTTTGGACAATGCCTCTGCTAATAACAAAGCTATGGATAAACTGAAACCTATGCTTAAGGAGTATTTAGGTTCTGATTTGTTTTTGCATCAA